TCTGGGATCATCTGAGACCAGCCACCCGATGAAACTGAGGAGTATTTCTGTCTGTAATGAAGCCCTTTTTTGGGGAAAAACTCATTCTGATTAGCTCATGGCTGCGTCCCTGCCCAGTCATGTGAAATCCATAGATTAGGGCCTAATGAATTTATTTCAATTGACTGAGTTCCTTATATGAATTGTAACACAGTAAAATCTTTGAAATTGTTGCATGTTGCGTTTATATTGTTGTTCAGTATAATATATTTCATAGTTACAGGACACTGTATATGGTATCCCATGTTGGGGTAATAAGGGTTGGGGTAATAAGGGTTGGCGTAATAACGGTAATAAGGGTTGGGGTAACAAGGGCTGGGGTAATAAGGGTTGGGATAATAAGGGTTGGGGTAATAAGGGTTTGGGGTAATAAGGGGTTTGGGGTAAAAAAGGGGTTGGGGAAATAAGAGTTGGGGGTAAAAAGGGTTTGGCGGTAATAAGGGGTGGGGTAAAAAGGGGTTGGGGTAAAAAAGGGTTTTTTTGGGTAATAAGGGTTTGGGGTAAAAGGTAAAAAGGGTTTTTGGGGGGGGGGGGGGTAAAAAGGGTTGGGGTTTAATAGGGTTTGGGGTTTTTAAAAAGGGGTTTGGGGAAATAACGGAAAAAAGGGGTTTGGGGGAAAAAGGGGTTGGGGTATAAGGTAAAAGGTTGGGGTAAAAAGGGGTTTGGGCAAAAATAAGGTAATAAGGGTTGGGGTATAAGGTTGGGGGGGGTTAAAAAGGGGTGGGGTTTGGGGGTAAAAGGGTTGGGAATAAGGGTTGGGGTAAAGGGTTGGATAATAAGGTAATAAGGGTTGGGGGAATAATTTAATAAGGTTTGGGGTAATAAGGGGGTAATAATGGAATAAGGGTTGGGGGTAAAGGGTTTGGGGGTAATAATGGAAAAGGGGTTGGGGTAATAAGGGTTGGGTAAAAACGGTAAAAAATTTTGGGGGGTGGGAAATAGGGTTGGCTAATAAGGTAATAAGGGTTGGGGTAAAAAGGGTTGGGGGTTAAAAAGGTAATAAGGGTTGGGGTAATAAGGGGTTTTGGGGTAAAAAGGGTGGGGGTAATAGGGGTTTTGGGGGTAATAAGGGTTGGGGTAATAAGGGTTGGGGTAATAAGGGTTGGCGTAATAACGGTAATAAGGGTTGGGGTAATAAGGGTTGGGATAATAAGGGTGGGGTAATAAGGGCTGGGGTTAATAAGGGTTGGGTAATAAGGGCTGGGTAATAACGGGTGGGGTAATAAGGGCTGGGGTAATAAGGGTTGGGGTAATAAGGGCTGGGGTAATAAGGGTGGGGTAATAAGGGCTGGGGTAATAAGGGTTGGAATAAGGGTTGGGTCTGGTAATAAGGGTTGGGCGTAATAACGGTACTAAGGGTTTGGGGTAATAAAGGGTTGGGATAATAGGGTTGCGGGGTAATAAGGGCTGGGGTTAATAAGGGGTTGGTGGTAATAAGGGCTGGGGGTAATAAGGGTTGGCGGTAATAATAAGGGGGTTGTTAATAAGGGTTGGGCGTAATAAGGGTTGGGGTAATAAGGGTTGGGGTAATAAGGGTTGGGGTAATAAGGGCTGGGGTAATAAGGGCTGGGGTAATAAGGGTTGGGGTAATAAGTGCCAGTATCTTGTAAAGCACTTTTGACCAATTCTAAGCATTTGTCTTCAAGGTATAGCGCAAATGTAAATGTAATCTACCTACTTTTCAAGTGCTAACATGATGTACAGTACCTCTGGTGTACCTCCTTTAACATCACGTGCTGCTTAATACAAAACACTGAATGGCTCAGCTCTGTTGAATTGGCTCTACGTTAATGTGAGACGCATTTATATTACGATGAACGTGGAATCTCTTCTGTTTTCCTCCCATCATTCTCTTCCCCAAGGGGTTACTGATGATGATTGGTGTGTCTATGTTCTACGTGACAGTGTGAGGTAGCTGATACCATAAACTCTGTTTTTGTTAGTCAGCTTTTGTGTGGCCTTTCTAGACCAAGAACAGAGTGGGATCAGGGCTGGGGTTAGTGCATCAATGTCTGTCTTGTTTGTCTATCTCGTGGTAGTACATATTGGGCCCTGGTCAAAAGTAGTGCACTAAATATGGAATAGGGGGCCATTTGGGATGCTGTCAGTGTCTGTGTGGCCTTAGAAACTGAGAGCAGAGTGGTATCAGGGTTGGGGTTAGTAAGGTTGGTGTTATTAACCAATAGGGTTAGGGTTAGCCTAATGGTTAGAGCACTGGGCCAGTAACTGAGAGGTTGCTGGTTTGAATGCCTGAGCCAAGAAGCTTAGTGGTTGAGAGCGTTGTGCCAGTAACCGAAAGGTCGCTGGTTCTAATCCCAGAGCCGACTAGGTGGAAAATCTGTCGATGTGCCCTTGAGCAAGGCACTTAACCCTAATTGCTCCTGTAAGTCTCTCTGGATAAGAGCGTCTGCTAAATGACTAAAATGTAAAATGTGATGTTTTTCCCCTTGAGCAAGGCACTTAACCCTAATTTGCTCCAGGAGCTCCATACTACTATGGCTGACCCTGTAAAACAACACTTTTCACTGCACCTATCTGGTGTATGTGACAATAAAACATATTTTAATATAATTAATTTGACCAATAGTGTTTGGATTAGGGCTAGGGTTAACCAATAGGGTTAGGGCTAGGGTTAACCAATAGGGTTAGGGCTAGGGTTAATGCAATAGGGTTAGCACATAAGCCCGGTGATTATGAGGAGTTGTCGACGAAAACCAAATGCACCGCTCAGGCCACTGGCTTTAATTAAACACACACCCCAACCTCCCTCCCTGTTTATCTCTTCATGCATTATAGCTCTGCTGGGAAGTCAACTCTGCAGCGAGAGTGAAAGCAGCAACGTAACAGCATATTTGGTGCTTGTTCCACATCAAAGTGGCGTGAGAGAGAAAAATGGTCGGGGCCACCTCAGCGTATCAGCCCTTTACTTTGATGTTACCTGCGTCCCAAATTACACCCTGTTCCCTATAGTACACTAGCGCCCCATGGGGCCCTGGTAAAAAAAGTAATGCACTAAATAGGGAATAGGGCCATTTGGGACCCCCCCCCCCGCCCCTGTTTTAATCCTGTCCTTGGAGAGCAGAATTTGATCTGCATTCTGCATGGCCTCCATTAGGACATTACAGGTTCATTAGGGGGGATCTAAATGCTTCCATACATCCTGCATCCTTCCCGTGGGGGTGTGGAATCCTGCCAATACATTCAAGGTTTGTTTCTTCCTCCTCCTCATCCTGTTGCTTTCCTCTCCTCTCTCTGTTCTGTTCTGAACTCATTGTAGTTGAGCTCCACTCTCCCCAAGCGGCCTGAGAGGTATTTCACTCTGTGTTCTCTCTCTCTCTCTCTGTCTCTCTCTCTCTCTGTCTCTCACTCTCTGTCTCTCGCTCTCTCTATCTCTCTACTATACTCTATTATCCTCTCTCTCTCTCTATCTCTAGCTGCTTCTATCTCTCTATCCAATCTCTGTCGCTCGCTCTATATATAAAATTATCTCTCTATCTCGCTCTCTCTCTCTCTCGCTCTATTGTTCTCTTTTCTCTCTGATCATCTCTCCTCTACTCTCTATCTACTCTCTCTCTCTCTCCTCTCTCTTCTCTGTCTCTCTCTCTCCTCATCTCTCTCCTCCTCTCTCTTCTCTCTCTCTCTCTCTCTGTGTCCTTGACTTCCAGCCATTTTCAGCAGACCGGCCCATAGAAGAACTAGGTCCGGTGGAGGAAGACGAGGGGTTGACAGGCTGTGACGTGGCGGCCCCGTAAAGAGGCACTGCCATCGCCTTCATGACCTATTCTGGTACTACTTCCACAATAACAACAACATTAAAATGGAAAGCCTGAAGGTGATTGGCTGACATACCTAATGGGCCTCCACTCTGCCTGGTTCCTCTCAGGATTGCTTCCTGTTAGGCCATTTGCATGTCCCTTGTGCTTCTGCTTGCTCTTTGAGGTATAAGCAATGATACTGTTAAGCACATTGACATCTGTTGATTTAAAAAGGTATTTGATATGGGTCAGATTTTTGCCGTATAAGTCATTATTTCTACTGTGCAGTATATATTACAAGGCCTGATCAATGCTCTGTTCTGCCACCCAGCAACCAGAGACAAAACGGTCCCCCCCCCTGCACCTCCTCAACCCCAAACCTCCTCCTCCTCATCTCAAGCCCAACCATCTTCCATCTCCAGTGTACAACATGTTAAAGGTGGCATCAACGGTTGAGGATAACACCAGTGGTATTTCTACTTTGTTTTTAGTTATTTATTCATAATTCTTTCACCAAGCAAGTATATTCCTGTAATAGTTGGTTTGGGGAATTGATGTCACCATTGGTTCAATTCAATCATTGGTCAACCTACGAGGTTTGGAATTGACGTTTGTGTCTGTTGTTGCCATGCGTTAACACGAGTAGGACAACGCTCTCATCCAAACACACAACAACAAACACAGCTGTCTCTGTTTTATTTCAGTGGTGAAAACTTTAACTGAGAGCAGCAAGGAGGTGAAAACTGTCGATATGACCAAGGGTTTCAGACGAAAACCTCCTGGCTGGTAAAATCAACCTCCTCTGTGATAAAAGGCTCCTGACAGAAATGAAGTCGATGATTAATTTGAATCAATCAGAGCTAGTAGCAACACAGGCATTAATCATCACATTGCCTCCTACTTTGATATTTCTCTTTCTGTTTTTAGGACGATATACCAGGCTGTTATACTGATAAATGGTTTGTTTTCTTTGTCTTCTACAGAATAAGACGGTGGTGGAAGAGATGACTGTCGATCTCGCCAATGTTCAGCTGGGTGGCAAAAAAACTATTCTGTGAAACGAAGTCTCCACAAGCTTCAACGAGCACTGTAAGTCCATATCTCTTCACTCTCAGATATTTTTGTTTCTGTTCTTGGACTTATAGGTCTATTTGACCAAGTTGTTTTAACTGATGTGCGGTATTGCCTTGTCTTCCACAGAGTAAAATGGTGGTGAGACACAGTCAGAACAAACCTTCTGAAGAAGTGATGACTGTCCATCTGACTAAAGTTCAGCTTGGTGGCAAAAAGCTCCTCACTGAAATGAAATCCTCAGCCGCTTCAACACACACAGTAAGGCCAAATAAATGTTCTCTTTCTCAATATATTTTTGTTTGTGTTCTTGGACCAACACACCAAGCTGTTCTATTGATGCATAGTATTGCCCTGTCTTCCACAGAGTAAGGTGGTGGTGAGGCACACATTGTCGTTGGAAGGAGAGGTCAGTCAGAACAAGCATTCTGAAGACATTATAACTGTCGATCGGGCCAAAAACATCCAGCTTGGTGGCAAAAAGCTCCTCACTGAAATGAAATCTTCAGCGTCTGCAGAACACGCAGCATGTCCTTACATTACATTTCCTTTTCCTCTTCTTAGACTGTTAGAACAGACTAATACACCAGGCTGTTTGAACTGATGAATGTTAACTTGCTCTCTATTGCTCTGTACTTACTTAGTTACTTACTTGCATACGTACCAAGTCACTTACTTAACAACTTACTTAGTTAGTTACTTACTTACTTACGTACTTACTCCACCTACTTACATACTTGCTTACTTACTTAATTAGTTACTTACTTAGTAACTTACATATTTACTTAAGTAGTTATTTAGTTACTTAGTTACTTACAAACTTAGCTACCAGCTTACTTACATAGTTACTGAGTTACTGACTACTTATTTACTTACTTACTAAGGTAGTTACTTTGTTACTTAGTAACTTACTTACTTACTAAGTTACTTAGATACTTATTTAGTTACTTACTTACATACTTAATTACTTACTTACTTATTTACTTAATTACTTAGTTCTCTGTCTCGTGTGGGACATACTGTAAGGCGTCAAAAATCTTCTGGCCACTGAAGTCTGTATTTGGCCACGGCTTTTGCCCTGTCCCATGAGAGACCCGTCTCTTCGACAGCTTTTGCCCCTTTCCCATGAGAGACCCGTCTCTTCGACAGCTTTTGCCCCTGTCCCATGAGAGACCCGTCTCTTCGACAGCTTTTGCCCTGTCCCATGAGAGACCCGTCTCTTCGACAGCTTTTGCCCTGTCCCATGAGAGACCCATCTCTTCGACAGCTTTCGCCCTGTCCCATGAGAGACCCGTCTCTTCGACAGCTTTTTGCCCTGTCCCATGAGAGACCCATCTCTTCGACAGCTTTTGCCCTGTCCCATGAGAGACCCGTCTCTTCGACAGCTTTTGCCCTGTCCCATGAGAGACCCATCTCTTCGACAGCTTTTGCCCCTGTCCCATGAGAGACCCATCTCTTCGACAGCTTTTTCCCCTGTCCCATGAGAGACCCATCTCTTCGACAGCTTTTGCCCTGTCCCATGAGAGACCCGTCTCTTCGACAGCTTTTGCCCTGTCCCATGAGAGACCCGTCTCTTCGACAGCTTTTGCCCCTGTCCCATGAGAGACCCATCTCTTCGACAGCTTTCGCCCTGTCCCATGAGAGACCCGTCTCTTCGACAGCTTTCGCCCTGTCCCATGAGAGACCCGTCTCTTCGACAGCTTTTGCCCTGTCCCATGAGAGACCCATCTCTTCGACAGCTTTCGCCCTGTCCCATGAGAGACCCGTCTCTTCGACAGCTTTTGCCCCTGTCCCATGAGAGACCCATCTCTTCGACAGCTTTCGCCCTGTCCCATGAGAGACCCATCTCTTCGACAGCTTTCGCCCTGTCCCATGAGAGAGCCGTCTCTTCGACAGCTTTTTCCCCTGTCCCATGAGAGACCCATCTCTTCGACATGCTTTTGCCCTATCCCATGAGAGACCCATCTCTTCGACATGCTTTCCCCTGTCCTATGAGAGACCCATCTCTTCGACAGCTTTCGCCCTGTCCCATGAGAGAGCCGTCTCTTCGACAGCTTTTTGCCCTGTCCCATGAGAGACCCATCTCTTCGACAGCTTTTGCCCTGTCCCATGAGAGACCCGTCTCTTCGACAGCTTTTTCCCCTGTCCCATGAGAGACCCGTCTCTTCGAAAGCTTTTGCCCTGTCCCATGAGAGACCCATCTCTTCGACAGCTTTCGCCCTGTCCCATGAGAGACCCATCTCTTCCAGCTCATCCACCATATTGGACTAATACACCGAGCTGTTATAACTGATTAATGTTAACTTGCTTTGTGTTAAACAGAGTAAGATGGTGGCAACATCTGAAGGGAAAACTGTAGAGGCTTCTGATAGAAACGTCCTGGCTGATACTGATGGTGATGTTGTAATTGTTTGGTCGCCAACAGAACAGGACGGTAGTTCTGCCCACGGAGGAGGTCAACCTGTCAGACATTGACTTCCTGGTTTTCCACCCATGACGAGCAGGGGGGGGTCGGCCAATCGATGAGTGGAAGAGACAGGTCACGGCGGGTCTGCCACAGGCCAGGCTATTGGACGAGGAAGACCGGAGGAGGAAGGTGAGGCACTCTGATTGGATATCCCAATACGGTCACAGCTCTGATTGGTTTCGGCCGGAATGGTTACAGCTTTTGTCCAAATGGTACTTATCGTATCCGCTTTAAGAGAACTTACGCAGCAGGTTAGGATAATTATTGTAGCAGGTTAGGATAATTAGGTTAAGGTTAGTTGGGTTTAGCTAAAATGCCCTCATAAATCTACTTTTGATGTCAATTTGACAAAAGCTGTATCCCATCTAGACATGACCGCTCTGATTGGATATCCCATGATATGGTCACATCACTAGGACTGGCATGTTTTTCGTATCACTACATCAATCAGGATATAAAAATACTGTTTCTCAGACCCAGATTAAGCCTACTCGTGGACTAATGCACTCAGGCAGGACTTTGTGTCCAAGAAACTGTCCCTCAGAGTGTGTGTGTCGGTGACATGACATGTGATGTACTGTATATTAAAACCTCTGCGCTGTGTCTCCTCCACCTCTGTAGGAGAATGGGACCCCGGCCCACAACGCAATCCCGGGCCTGTCTGGAGAGCTGCTCACCGAGGATGACCTGATCCACCCGGAGAAGCAGATTCAGAGCGTGTCCAACCAGAAGGACTGTGAGGGCTATGAGACAGAGCTAGCCCGTCTGGCTGAGGAGCTCAGGACCATCCTGCCAGCTCCCCATCGTCAACATCACAGCCAGCTCACAGTTCAGAAACCTCAACCAGGAGTCTCTGGTGATGTTAAACTATGTGCCTTTTAAGCTACATTTCCTATTGATAAACTGATTCCCTTGGTGGTTTACTTGGGTATCTTGAAGGGCGCTAACTAAACGTTTTGTTATTATTATTATTATTATTATTAGTCAGATCCCTGTGCCGTTGTGGTGCAACATGTGCATGCTGATGGCCAACCTGGCAGACGGGCCGTACTCGAAGATCCTCAACACAGAGTTGTCCACGGTGTTCTCCCAGATACATCGACTTCAACCCGGGGGGAGAAGATAGAGTAAGAGACCCACCAGTTTGGGGTTTCTGTCCGGAATCTGAAGTCCAACTTTGAAGGTCACGGAGAAAAAAACCAGAAGAAGAGGTCAACGCGATGTCAGCCATACAGGAGGAAGGACTGGGGTTAGAGGTTAGAGGTCAGAGGAACACATGTCACGTCTCCTCCCATTGCTCCCCTCCGGCGCTCTGATTCGCCGGTCTACTGAGACACAGGTCTGAGCCGCACCACCACCTCGGCAACACCGGAATGGAAACCCAACGCACCCTAATCACCTCCCAGCGCACCTGCACCTCATCATCTCATCACCACCCCTATATAGACCTGGACTGTTCAGTGTTGTGTTGTGTGTGATTGTTAGTGTCTTGTCGTGTCCTCGCTCTTTGTTGTTCTCTTGCTCAGTGTTAAGTAAACCTTTACATTGTTGATTCCTGCGTCTGCGTCCTGCCTCTTCGTGTCCTCAGTACTCGTCATAACACAGGAACAGCCCAAAGAGACGAAGCCGACCATAACAGCGACTCAGGCATACACTATGACGAGAACATGACAGATGTTAGGGAAACCATCAGTCTACGGAAGGAACGTATCATGGTGCTGTTCTTGGGCCACTGGAAGAATTCAGCCTACACGGTGACTCTGAAGACCAGAGAGGCAGAGAGGAGATCCAGTGTGGACGAGGCTGGTGGTAAACCTGGGGGGACAGATGGGAGTGGACTCCGTAGGGGATCTCCGATGCCTCTGGGACACTTCTTTAAACACAGGAATGTCGTCAACAAGATGATTGGTGATTGGAGGAGCATGATCTCCAGTGTTCAGATTCGTCATCTCCAACGGCAGCAGGCGTCATACTCCCCCGATCAGTTTCTCCCCAAGGTCTTTCTGCACTTCTAATCCATTTGTTGATTCTTGTTCTGATTGTAATTCTGATTCTGATTCCTCTCTAAGGTGAACAGGGTGACAGTGGACTACAACATCCTGACCCTTGACCTCTTCATGCTGGGGTACTTCCACATCCTGGAACTCGAACTCCAAGCGGAAGATGAGACACCTGCCGTCCGGGAGTTCCACAAGGCCGTCATGATGGACATCGAGGCTGGGAACCGTGAGTGGAAGGATGGCTTCGAGGACATTAAGGTCAAGTTCTTTTGGAACATGTCAACTACTCAGTCTGAACTGCCATCGTCCAGACCCCAACACCAGCCAGATGAAGGGGCTCTGATCAATTCCTGCTGACATCAAGTTATAGTGAGGTATGGGTGTATTCTAATGTTTTTTACCCCCTTCTTCAATTAAGATCTTGTCTCATCACTTCAACGGGCTCAGCGAAGGTTGAAATATGCGTCCTCCGAAACATGACCTGCCAAACCACGCTCCTTAACACCCGCCCACTTAACCCGGAAGCCAGCTGCACCAATGTGTCAGAGGAAACATGTTCAACTGATGACAGCCTGCCCGCCACAAGATTGCAATGAGCCAAGTAAATTCCCTCCGGCCAAACCGTCCCCTAACTCGGACGACGCTATGGGACTCCCGGTCACAGCCGGTTGTGACACAGCCTGGGATCGAACCCGGGTCTGTAGTGACGCCTTATGCACTGCGATGCAGTGCGTTAGACTGCTGCTCCACTCGGGAGGCCCTACTACAACGTGTTTTATTCTGAGTGTGAATACTTTTGTGTTCTTTGTGAATAGTTGTTACAGAGCTTATTATTTAAAGAGAAACCAATAGGCAGGCCTACAGTAAACTTTCCAATCTCAGAAACTAATAGGCAGATGCATAGTACAAGCTATAACATTATTACAATATATGAACATAAAGGACAGCGTCATGTGATTTCTTTTGAGTAGAGCCTTTACTGTCTACCTGTTAATATCATAGCAGTAAACCACCCTGCATCCCACTGCTGGCTTGCCTCTGAAGCTAAGCAGGGTCGGTCCTGTCGGTCCCCTGGATCGGAGACCAGACTCTGCTGGAAGTTGGAGGGCCAGTAGGCGGCACTCTTCCATCTGTTCTAAGGAAATCCCAAATCCCCAGGGCAGTGAAAGGGACATTGCCCTGGGTAGGGTGCCGTCTTTCGGATGGGACGTTAAACGGGTGTCCTGACTCTCTGTGTTCATAAAAAAATCCCATGGCACATATTGTAAGAGTAGGGGAGTTAACCCCGGTGTCATGGCTAAACTCCCAACCTGGCCCCATTCCATCATGGCCGCCTAATCATCCCCCTCATTCCTAATTGACATATATGACTCCTCACCTCTCCACCTGATAGCTGATGTGTGGTGAGTGTTCTGGCTCAGAAATGGCCGCCATGCATCACCCAGGTGGGCATCACCCAGGTGGGCATCACCCAGGTGGGCATCACCCAGGTGGGCATCACCCAGGCGGGCTTCACCCAGGCGGGCATCACCCAGGTGGGCATCACCCAGGTCGGCATCACCCAGGTGGGCATCACCCAGGCGGGCATCACCCAGGCGGGCATCACCCAGGCGGGCATCACCCAGGCGGGCATCACCCAGGTGGGCATCACCCAGGTGGGCATCACCCAGGCGGGCATCACCCAGGTGGGCATCACCCAGGTGGGCATCACCCAGGCGGGCATCACCCAGGCGGGCATCACCCAGGTGGGTGCTACACATTGAGGGTGGGTGAGGTGAGTTTCCCCCTACTATGTAAAGCACTTTGACTTACCTCAGTTGGTAGAAAAGCGTTATATAAATCCAAATCAATTATTAATGAATTATTATAGCTTTCTTTCTTCATCACTCACCACTGTAAGACGCTCGGTATCATTACTGTTACCACGAAGAGTGACCTTGTACCATCATTTTATAACACAGTGCCAAGTATTAGCCTCTCACTTCTCTAACCCCACAGCACCGGGTCTGCTGTATCTCTGTGTTCATTAAAAAAATCCCATGGCACTTATTGTAAGAGTAGGGGTGTTAACCCCGGTGACATGGCAGTCGTCCTCCACACTGCCAATTACATGTTGTTCTATCTACCCGGTCTCTTAACCACACGCTCCATTTACCGGAAATATGAGTAATTACTCCCTTGGTTTCTCTCTCTTGTAAGTCTGTCATTTCTTTTCTCTGTTACAGTGTTTGTTTGAAGATAGGAAATGTAAGCTGGGACCGAGAGAATGAAAAACAGCTTCTATCTCAAGGCCATCAGACTGTTAAATAGCCATCACTAGCACATTAGAGGCTGCTGCTGCCTATTGAAATCACTGGGCACTTTAAGAAATGGAACACTAGTCACTTTAGTAATGTTTACATATCTTGCACTACTCATCTCATATGTATATACTGCATTCTATTCTATAATATTCTACTGTATCTTAGTTCATGCCGCTCTGTCATTGCTTGTCCATATATGTATATATTCTTAAATCCCATTCCTTACTAGTTTTGTGTGTATTGGGTATATGTTGTGTAATTGTTAGATATTACTGCACTGTCGGAGCTAGAAGCACAAACATTTCGCTACACCCGCTATAACATCTGCTAAACACGTGTATGTGACAAATAACATTTTATTTGATCATGGAGCCACTGTAACGTAATGAATGAAACTGTCTTAATCCTTGACAAGCAGTTGTTATTTCAATTACAGTATCTCATTAACCATCTTCTAATTCTCCTGAGAATGGAGAGAGTAAGGGGGGGGGGGGCTGAGAAAGAGAGAGCGAGAGAGAGTGTGAGTATGCTTGCCTGTCTGTGTGTGTGTGTGTGTGTGTGTGTGTGTGTGTGTGTGTGTGTGTGTGTGTGTGTGTGTGTGTGTGTGTGTGTGTGTATGTGTGTGTGTGTGTATGTGTGTGTGTGTCCCTTTAACAGCAGGTGTGGAGTGTGTTGAAACCCACCACGCTGTTTGGAATCTGACTTTAGTCCCGAGTCTCTGGCCGTCCTAAAAATAGCCCTCTGAAAGACCAGCAGCTGCTGCCTGAATGAGACCCTAGCCCCCATAGGGCTGGTCAAAAAATAGTGCACTATATAGGGAATAGGGTGCCGTTTGGCCGCAGAATTATGCCCCAATGACTTGGCTCTAGCAGTCGTCCTCCACACTGCCAATTACATGTTGTTCTATCTAGCCGGTCACTTAACCACACGCTCCATTTACAGGAAATATGAGCAATTACTCCCTTGGTTTCTCTCTCTGGTAAGTCTGTCATTTCTTTTCTCTGTTACAGTGTTTGTTTGAAGATAGGAAATGTAATTTACCGCGGGCCGGATGGAGCATGGGATACAGATAGCTCTGTGACTTGGTAAGACAGCAATGTTTGACTTTTATAAAAAAAAAAAAACATTTCATGTCAACTCTCCTAGGATACGAAGGAAATATTGTGAAATCCCACGTACTATATAAAGTTTTCACTGCATGACTCTACATTAAATTGTGCATGAGGCCTAGGCGTAAAAGCTCACAAACTATTTTGTATCATAAATTGGTACTTGGCTGCTGATCCAACTTTTTCGGGGTCTTTAATCCAACTACTAAAATATACGAAGCTTCCCGAAGATTCTGGGCATGTGCGGATCACTTTCTGCGTATGTGTATATTGTCTATAGAGAACAGGCTACTCAGGCCAATGGTGCTTGTTTAATACAGTTAGATCAAACTGAATCAATGTCTGCAAGATCTCACATAATGATCACAGTATTCTACATAACAGAACCGAATACAATAGCATAACGTTACTGTAAGACAAAAAGCACTGCATTCAATCGTGAATTATAATTCTTTAAGTTTCACCCATCTCAATATGCACTTAGATCTTGAGTTATACAGTGTTGTTTTGAAGTAGCCTACAGTGTTGTTTTGAATGATGTACAGTGTTGTTTTGAATGATGTACAGTGTTGTTTTGAATGATGTACAGTGTTGTTTTGAATGATGTACAGTGAGTGAATTTTTGAGCAGATTGAGTTAACAAACAGGCAGCTGTCTGCTTTAGTTTTCCAGATGATCGATCTCCGTCGAGGGAGGAGCTGGTTTTTACGTATTGTGTATATTTATTTATTCTGAACACATTTCTGTTTGTTGGCAATGTCAATTATTACTTTTATGTTTGCTAGCTGCACAGGCAAACGCCGCAGTGTACTAAACTGTAAACCAATCAAAACTTGTGTACTATCCATGGTACTATCTCTGCTGATCACATCTGCCAATCACATTATCCGTTTCTAAGGTAGTAGGCAGCTGGTGACATCTGCTATCAAGTAAAGCATATATACACTACCGGTCAAAAGTTATAGAACACCTACTCATTCAAGGGTTTTTCTTTATTTTTACTATTTTCTACATTGTAGAATAATAGTGAAGACATCAAAACTATGAAATAACACACATGGAATCATGTAGTAACCAAAAAACGTGTTAAACAAATCAAAACATATTTTATATTTGAGATTCTTCAAATAGCCACCCTTTGCCTTGATGACAGCTTTGCACACTCTTGGCATTAAGAGAAGGACAAACTAAATTGCTTTCATGGAGGACTGGCTTGACCACACAATTGACAAAAACAATTTATTTTCAGAATTTTCATCGACCCTTAGCTGTGGTATATTGGCCATATACCACAAACCCCTGAGGAGCCTAATTGCTATTATAAACTGGTTAAAAACGTAATTAGAACAGTAAAAATACATGTTTTGTCATACCCGTGGTATACTGTCTGATATACCATGCAATTCAGCTTTCAGCCAATCAGCATTCAGTTTATAACACAGCAATAAAAGTAAAGTAAACAATCATGTGTTTTTCCCCACAAAAGCTCTTTATTACAGACATAAATACTCTTCAGTTTCATCAGCTCTCTGGGTGGCTGGTCTCAGATGATCCCGCAGGTGAGGAAGCCAGATGTGGAGGTCCTGGGGTGGCATGATTACACATGGTTTGCGGTTGTGAGGCTGGTTGGACGTACTGCCAAATTCTCTAAAATGACGTTGGAAGCAGCTTATGGTAGAGAAATGAACATGAAATTCTCTGACAACAGCTCTGGTGGACATTCCTACAGTCAGCATCCCAATTGCACACTCCCTCAAACTTGAGACATCTGTGGCATTGTGTTGTGAGACAAAACCGCCTTTTATTGTCCCCAGCACAAGGGGCACCTGCATAATAATCATGCTGTTTAATCAGCTTCTTGATATGTCACACCTGTCAGGTCGATGGATTATCTTGGAAAAGGAGAAATGCTGACTAACAGCGATGTAAACAAATTTGTGCACAACATTTTAGATAAATTAGCTTTTTTGTGCTTATGGAACATTTCTGGGATATTTTTTATTCAGCTCATGAAACATGGGACCAACACTTTACATGTTGCGTTTATATTTTTGTTCAGTTAGCTATGTTTTGTGTAAGAAAATATGATATTTTGTCGTGCATGAACTGGCAATACAAGTTAGCTAACGTTACAGTCTTACTTTGGCTAACGTTGCCTAGCTAGTTAACGTTAACTGGCATATTATTATTATATTTAACGTTAACTGGCTATCATAGGAGCCAAGGATCTTATTTGTGCATATTTGATTGCTCTCCCATTACATATAAGTGTCTAGATCAACAGTTTACACATGATGACTTCAGCCTTATATAAAAAAAACCTTACTTGGCAAAATATAGCTAGCTAGCTTTCCTTGTTTGTTGGTTAGCTACCTAGCCAATTTTAGCTCACATCTGACTGGTATAGCGTTACGTTAGCTAACTAGTTAGCGCTTCTATCTAGCTAGCTACCTAGTTAATCAAAACAAAAGCACATTTATTGGTTAGCTACCTTTATTTGCCTGTTTGTTGGCTAGCTGGCTTTCAAATCAAATCAAATCAAATCAAATCAAATTATGTTGGCCACATGCGCCGAATACAACAGGTGCAGACATTACAGTGAAATGCTTACTTACAGCCCTTAACCAACAGTGCATTTATTTTTAACAAAAAAGTAGAATAAAACCAAAAAATGTTGAGAAAAAAAGAGCAGAAGTAAAATAAAATAACAGTAGGGAGGCTATATATACAGTGGGGTACCGGTGCAGAGTCAATGTGCGAGGGCACCGGCTAGTTGAGGTAGTTGAAGTAATATGTACATGTGGGTAGAGTTAAAGTGACTATGCATAAATAATTAACAAAGTAGCAGTAGCGTAAAAAGATGGGGTGGGGTGGGGGGGGCAGTGCAAATAGTCCAGGTATCCATGATTAGCTGTTCAGGAGTCTTATGGCTTGGGGGTAGAAGCTGTTGAGAAGTCTTTTGGACCTAGACTTGGCACTCCGGTACCGCTTGCCGTGCGGTAGCAGAGAGAACAGTCTATGACTAGGGTGGCTGGAGTCTTAGACAATTTTGAGGGCCTTCCTCTGACACCGCCTGGTATAGAGGTCCTGGATGGCAGGAAGCTTGGCCCCAGTGATGTACTGGACCGTACGCACTACCCTCTCTAGTACCTTGCAGTCGGAGTCTAAGCAGTTGCCATACCAGGCGGTGATGCAACCAGTCAGGATGCTCTCGATGGTGCAGCTGTAGAACTTTTTGAGGATCTGAGGACCCATGCCAAATCTTTTCAGTCTCCTGCGGGGGAATAGGCTTTGTCGTGCCCTCTTCACAACTGTCTTGGTGTGTTTGGACCATGATAGTTCGTTGGTGATGTGGACACCAAGGAACTTGAAGATCTCAACCTGTTCCACTACAGCCCCGTCGATGAGAATGGGGGCGTTGTCAGTCCTCTTTTTTTTCCTGTAGTCCACAATAATCTCCTTTATCTTGGTCACGTTGAGGGAGAGGTTGTTATCCTGGCATCACACGGCCAGGTCTCTGACCTCCTCCCTATAGGCTGTCTCATCGTTGTCGGTGATCAGGCCTACCACTGTTGTGTCGTCTGCAAACTTAATGATGGTGTTGGAGTCATGCCTGGCCATGCAGTCATGGGTGAACAGGGAGTACAGGAGGGGACTAAGCACGCACCCCTGAGGGGCCCCAGTGTTGAGGATCAGTGTGGCAGATGTGTTGTTACCTACCCTTACCACCTGGGGGCGGCCCATCAGGAAGTCCAGGATCCAGTTGCAGAGGGAGGTGTTTAGTCCCAGGATCCTTAGCTTAGTGATGAGCTTTGAGGGCACTATGGTGTTGAATGCTGAGCTGTAGTCAATGAATAGCATTCTCACATAGGTGTTCCTTTTGTCCAGTTGGGAAAGGGCAGTGCAGAGTGCAATAGAGATTGCATCATCTGTGGATCTGTTGGGGCGGTATGCAAATTAGAGTGGGTCAAGGGTTTCTGGGATAATGGTGTTGATATGAGCCATGACCAGCCTTTCAAAGCACTTCATGCTACAGACGTCAGTGCTACGGGTCGGTAGTCATTTAGGCAGGTTATCTTAGAGTCCTTGGGCACGGGGACTATGGTGGTCTGCTTGAAACATGTTGGTATTACAGACTCAGTCAGGGACATGTTGAAAATGTCAGTGAAGACACTTGCCAGTTGGTCAGCACATGCTCGGAGTACACATCATGGTAATCCGTCTGGTCCTGCGGCCTTGTGAATGTTGACCTGCTTAAAAGTCTTACTCACATCGGCTACGGAGAGCGTGATCACATAGTCATCCGGAACAGCTGGTGCTCTCATGCATGCTTCAGTGTTGCTTGCCTCGAAGCGAGCATAGAAGTGGTTTAGCTCGTCTGGAAGTCTTGTGTCACTGGGCAGCTCGCGGCTGTGCTTCCCTTTGTAGTCTTTAATAGTTTTCATGCCCTGCCACATCCGACGAGCGTCAGAGCCGGTGTAGTACGATTCAATCTTAGTCCTGTATTGGCTCTTTGCCTGTTTGATGGTTCGTCGGAGGGCATAGCGAGATTTCTTATAAGCATCCGGGTTAGAGTCCTGCTCCTTGAAAGCGGCAGCTCTACCCTTTAGCTCAGTGCGGATGTGTCCTGTAATCCATGGCTTCTGGTTGGGGTATGTACGTACGGTCACTGTGGGGACGACATCATCGATGCACTTATTGATGAAGCCAGTGACTGATGTGGTGTACTCCTCAATGCTATCTGAAGAATCCCGGAACATGTTCCATCTGTGCTAGCAAAACAGTCCTGTAGCTTAGCATCTGCGTCATCTGACCACTTCCTTATTAACGAGTCACTAGTGCTTCCTGCTTTAGTTTTTGCTTATAAGCAGGAATCAGAAGGATAGAGTTATGGTCAGATTTGCCAAATGGTGGCGAGGGAGAGCTTTGTACGCGTCTCTGTGTGTGGAGTAAAGGTGGTCTAGAGTTTTTTTTCTCATGGTTGCACATTTAACATGTTGGAAGAAATTAGTTAAAACGGATTTAAGTTTCCCTTCATTAAAGTTCCTGGCCACTAGGAGCGCTGCCTCTGGATGAGCATTTTCCTGTTTGCTTATGGCCTTATACAGAAAACTCTCTTGGTAAATAGTGTGGTCTACAGCTTATCATGAGATACTCTACCTTAGGCGAGCAAAACTTCGAGACTTCCTTAGTATTAGATTTTGTGCACCAGCTGTTGTTTACAAATATACACAAACCTCCACCCTTGTCTTACCAGAGTCAGCTGTTCTCTCCTGCCGATGTATCGTATATCCTGCCAGTTGTGTGTTATCTATGTCGTCGTTCAGACATGACTCGCTTTTTAATGTCCCATTGGTAGGATATTCTTGATCTTAGGTCGTCCATTTTGTTTTCCAATTATTGTACGTTGGCTAATAGGATTGATGGAAGAGGCAGATTACTCGCTCGCCGTCTGATCCTTACAAGGCACCCCGATCTACGTCCACGATATCTCTGTCTCTTTCTCATGCGAATGACAGGGATTTGGGCCTTTTCGGGTGTCTGTAGAATATCCTTCGTGTCTGACTCGTTGAAGAAAAAATCTTCTTCCAATACGAGGTGAGTAATCGCTGTCCTGATATCCAGAAGTAATTTTTGGTCATAAGAGATGATGGCAGAAACATTATGTACAGAATAAATTACAAATAATGCGAAAAAACACACATAATAGCACAATAATAGTTCTAAACCGGATGAGTTCTCCAATAGCAGCTGCCCAATCCCATGGCAAAATGTTGGATGCATTGGACTATAAGGTTTGGAGAAGGATGAAGAGCCTGTAGAATTATAGAAAAAGCAGTTGGGAAATGAATGTTTGAGTTTCAAATACTAAATGTTCAGTGAATGTGAGTATATTTAGGTGGTTTCATTTATTAACTTTCCTAACCTAAAAGTTGACGTGCCAAAATATTGGCAATCCATTCATTATTCCACTAAATATGACTGAGTGTAATGACTAAGCAAAAACAGATTTGCAGAAATCTTTGCAAATTTCAACAACAAAAAACCCCGGAAATATCACATTTACATAAGTATTCAGACCCTTTACTCAGTACTTTGTTGAAGCACCTTTGGCAGCGATTACAGCCTAAAAGTCTTCTTGTGTATGACGCTACAAGCTTGGCACACCTGTATTTGGGGAGTCTCTCCCATTCCTCTCGGCAGATCCTCTCAAGCTCTGTCAGGTTGGATGGGAAGCATCGCTGCACAGCTATTTTTCAGGTCTCTCCAGAGATGTTCGATCGGGTTCAAGTCCGGGCTCTGGCTGGGCCACTCAAGGACATTCAGAGACTTGTCCCGAAGCCACTCCTTCCTTGTCTTGGCTGTGTGCTTAGGGTCGTTGTCCTGTTGGAAGGTGGACCTTTGCCCCAGTCTGTTGTCCTGAGCGCTCTGGAGCAGGTTTTCATCAAGGATCTCTCTGTACTTTTCTCAGTTAATCTTCCCCTTGATCCTGGCTAGTTTCCCAGTCCCTGCCGCTGGAAAACATGCCTAGTCGCGTGCAGTGGTGTTTTTGTAATGTTATACTATGCAACTATAATCGGTTTTGTTATGTGGAATACTGTGATCATTATGTGATCTTGCAAACAATGCTTCAGCTTGATCTAACTTTGATCTTACTTCGCCTGAGTAGCCTGTTCTCTGTGGGGGGAGGCTATACAGACATGCCTGGTGCCCAAACTGATGACGTATATTGTGCAGCTGAGGGTCCAGTGGAGAGGACTGGATTGCGTTCAGTCAGTCCAGTCAGTGGTCCTGATCCATCCCAGCCAGCTAGTTTATGCTGGAGGGGCTTTTCAGAAGCTTTGGGAGGTTCTGGATCTTTTAGTCGGTGGATAAAAGATCTTGTATAAATGTTTCATTATTTCTAAATTACTTGGTGTATTTTCCTTTTTTTTCATTATTTTCTCTTGTTCTTTCTCTTGTAAACACATTTAATCAGCACTCTAGGGGTAGAAAATCAGCTTCAAAGTAACAAGTTGTTATTATGAATGTGACAGATAAACAGCCTTTTGCAAGCACCTGTGTTCCAAGCTGTGGTTGTTGTAAGTGTTCTATAACATGATTCATATTGCTATATGAATAAACATGACGTGTATTCTAGCCATTTTACTGTACTGAACTTGGATGACCTCTCTCAGGCCACCTGCTTACTAACACTGTCGTTGTCATCCTGGGTCCGTATTCACAAAGCATCTCTGAGTAGGAGTGTAGTTTTGCCCTTTAAAATCATAATGAATGAGAGGGGGAACCTGATCCTAGATCAGTGTTCTTACTCAGAGACGTTCTTTGTGGATACGGACCCTGAAGATTAAGTTTTGTCCGAGAATTCTCATCCCTCATCTCTCCTCTTGTAGGTAAACATTGACCGCAGCTGTTGGCCAGTTCTGAACAGATTAAGAGATTAGTGGTCCGAAGGGTAAAGGTGAAGAAGGGGCGTGGTCACCATGGTGCGTAACGTGGACGACCTGGACTTCTGCCTGGCCTCCCACCCCCAGAGCATCCTGGAGGGGCTGCGCTCCCTCTGCTGCAACCCCAAACTAGTGGACGTGACCCTGGCCGCGGGCGGCCGCGACTTCCCCTGCCACCGGGCCGTCCTGGCTCTCTGCAGCGTCTACTTCCACTCCATGTTCTCCGGGGATTTTGTGGAGAGCATCGCGGCCCGGGTGGAGCTGCACGGCGTGGACCCTGACATCATGGCTTCCCTTCTAGACTTCTGCTACACAGGGAAACTCACCATCAACCAGGGGAACGTGGAGGGCCTGATACGCACGTCCAGCCAGCTACAGTTCCAGGCGGTCCGGACCGTGTGCAGCCGTTATCTCCAGCACCAGATTGATGCCACCAACTGCCTGGGCATCCTGGCGTTCGGGGAGGTCCACGGCTGTCCCGAGGTGGTAGCAAAGGCCTGGGCATTCCTCCTGGAGAACTTCGAGGCCGTGCAGCGCTGGGAGGAGTTCCCTCTGCTGGAGAAGGAGAGGTTAGTGGCGTGTCTGTCCAACGAGAGGCTGCAGACCAGGACAGAGTGTACCCGTGTGGAGGCAGCACTGGCCTGGGTGAGGCAAAAAGGGTCCGGTCCCCACCCCAGCTGTCTTGGGGCAACCACGGGGTCTCCTTGATCCTCCCAACCCCAAAAAGGGATTGTCTGGTCTGGCCTTAAGTTTTAGGCAGGGAATTTCCAATATAAAAAAAATTTAAATCAATGTTTTGTTTTTAACGTAAGGCCAGGAACCAGACCAAAAGCCAGTCCCAAACACTTCAAGGAGGTTTAAATTGTATGGGCGGCTGCCGGGGCGGGACCGATACAGTGCGAGAGAATATAACCCCAAACCCCAAAACATGCTGGGAAATGGGTGAACAGACTTCCAAGGGGCCGACAGTCCAAACTAAGAAGGGGGACGGAGGGAGGCCGCCGCGGGACCAGGACGAAGAGAGAGGAACAGGAGACCCAGGGCCCCGGGAAGCGGCACAACCTAGAACGAACGTTCCCCTTCCCCCAGCTCCCCCAAAGGCAACCCGCACCAAGAGCCAAAGGGAAAACCCGGAGGAAGACAAGAGGCCCGGCACGAAGGGCAGCGGCCCCACGGAAACACCGGAGGCCATCCGACAGGAAAGCGGCCGGCACCCAAGGGCCCGGCCAAAAGGGAAGGTCCCAAAGGGAAGGGCAGCCAGCGAAGCCCGCCACCACGCAAGGAACCACGTACCAGGCCCACAAGGAACGTCCCCAATCATTACCTTCCTCCCATATTCCCCATCTGCCCCCACAAATCTTCCCCTTCCTCCCCATCTTCCTCTTCCTCACCCATGTGTTCAGAGCGTCTGTATCCCTATAACCTGGTTCCTTGATCTGTTTGTGCTGTCTGGCCAAAATTGTCACGTGCCAATGACCATAGGAGTTGACAAGGCAGCACAAACAGATCTGGTAACAGGCTAGTGTCCCTCCAGCAAATACCCTCTAAATAATGTTAATGTTGTGATGTGAATAACATTATCATGTCTCTCTCTACAGAGCAGTGGTATGAGCTGCCGGTCTTCCCCAACCACAACAAGTACGGATACTCTGTGGTCTCTCTGAATAATGACGTTTATGTCACAGGTTGGTTGGCTTTTATTTAGGGCACTTGATCAGAAAAAATTAATACATGAATTCATAAAATAAATACATCAAATAAATACATAAATACATCAAATAAATACATAAATACATCAAATAAATACATGCAATTACAGATTTCCTCCAAGTGTTGCAGTGTGCTGGGTGCTTACTTGATCAATATAATTGATGTATCCAGTATCCTCAGTGTCCTGAATAGAGGATTGACAATGATCTGATGGTGTCTCTCTTTCTCTCTCTCTCTCTCTCTCTCTCTCTCTCTCTCTCTCTCTCTCTCTCTCTCTCTCTCTCTCTCTCTCTCTCTCTCTCTCTCTCTCACTCACTCACTCACTCACTCACTCTTCTTAGGGGGCTCGAGGGGTTCCCAATCCAACACCTGGTCGACCACAGAGACCTGGAAGTACATCACCAGAGAGGGGCGGTGGGTGACGGTGGCTCCCATGCTCCGGCCCCGGACTAACCACACATCAGCAGCTCTCAGCGGAGAGATCTACGTCATTGGAGGAAAGAGAGAAATAAGACCTATAGGAACTAGACCAATAATATACCTATAGGAACTAGACCTATAATATACCAATAGGAACTAGACCTATAATATACCTATAGGAACTAGACCTATAATATACCAATAGGAACTAGACCTATAATATACCTATAGGAACTAGACCTATAGGAACTAGACCTATAATATACCTATAGTGACTAGACCATATAATATACCTATGGAACTAGACCTATAATATACCTTAGGAACTAGACCTATAATATACCAATAGGAACTAGACCTATAATATACCTATAGGAACTAGACCTACTAGGAACTAGACCTATTAATATACCTATAGGAACTAGACCTATAATAGACCAATAGGAACTAGACTATAAATACCTATAGGAACTAGACCTATAATATACCTATAGGAACTAGACCTATAATATACCTATAGGAATAGACCTATTTAAAATACCCATAGGAACTAGACCTATATATACCCATGGAAACTAGACCTATAATATACCCATAGGAACTAGACCTATAATATACCCTTTGGAACTAGACCTATAATATAACAATAGGAACTAGACCTATAATAACTATAGGAACTAGACCTTTTAGGAACTAGACCATGATATCCTATAGGAACTGACCTATAATTCCTATAGGAAACTAACCTATAATTATAAATGGAAAACTAAATTAATTTGTATACCTATAGGAACTAGACCTATAATATACCATAGGAAACTAGACCTATAATAACCCATAGGAACAGACCTATAATATAAACAATAGGAACTAGACCTATAATATACCAAGGAACTAGACCTATAGGAAAATAGACCCATGATATACCCATAGGAACTAGACCTATAATATACCTATAGGAACTGACCTTATAATAACCTATAGGAACTAGACCTATAATATACCAATAGGAACTAGACCTATAATATACCTATAGGAAATATACCTATAATATACCAATAGGAACTAGACCTATAATATACCAATAGGAACTAGACCTATAATATACCTATAGGAACTAGACCTATAGGAACTAGACCTATAATATACCTATAGGAACTAGACCTATAATATACCTATAGGAACTAGACCTATAATATACCTATAAGAACTAGACCTATAATATTCCAATAGGAACTAGACCTATAATATACCTATAGGAACTAGACCTATAATATACCTATAGGAACTAGACCTATAATATACCTATAGGAACTAGACCTATAATATACCTATAGGAACTAGACCTATAATATAACAATAGGAACTAGACCTATAATATACCTATAGGAACTAGACCTATAGGAACTAGACCTATAATATACCTATAGGAACTAGACCTATAATATACCAATAGGAACTAGACCTATAATATACCTATAGGAACTAGACCTATAGGAACTAGACCAATAATATACCTATAGGAATTAGACCTATAATATACCTATAGGAACTAGACCTATAGGAACTAGACCTATAATATACCTATAGGAACTAGACCTATGTGGTCCTCTGTAGCTCAGCTGGTAGAGCACGGCGCTTGTAACGCCAAGGTAGTGGGTTCGATCCCCGGGACCACCCATTCACAAAAAAAAAAAATGTATGCACGCATGACTGTAAGTCGCTTTGGATAAAAGCGTCTGCTAAATGGCATATTATTATTATACCAATAGGAACTAGACCTATAATATACCTATAGGAACTAGACCTATAGGAACTAGACCTATAATATACCTATAGGAACTAGACCTATAATATACCAATAGGAACTAGACCTATAATATACCTATAGGAACTAGACCTATAATATACCTATAGGAACTAGACCTTTAATATACCAATAGGAACTAGACCTATAATATACCAATATGAACTAGACCTATAATATACCTATAGGAACTAGACCTATAGGAACTAGACCTTTAATATACTTATAGGAATTAGACCTATAGTAACTAGACCTATAGGAACTAGACCTATAATATACCAATAGGAACTAGACCTATAATATACTTATAGGAATTAGACCTATAATATACCTATAGGAACTAGACTATAATATACCCATAGGAACTAGACCTATAGGAACTAGACCTATAATATACCAATAGGAACTAGACCTATAATATACCTATAGGAACTAGACCTATAGGAACTAGACTATAATATACTTATAGGAATTAGACCTATAGTAACTAGACCTATAGGAACTAGACCTATAATATACCATAGGAACTAGACCTATAATATACCTATAGGAACTAGACCTATAGGAAACTAGACCTATAATATACTATAGGAACAGACCATATAATATACCTTAGGAAACATAGACCTATCGACTAACCATAATTACCTATAGGAACTAGACCTATAGGAACTAGACCTATAATATACCTATAGGAGCTAGACCTATATATACTAAGGAACTAGACCTATAGGATACCTATAGGAGCTAGACCTATAATATACCTATAGGAAACTTTGGGCCTATAGGAACTAGACCTATAATATAACCATAGGAAAAGACCTATAATATACCAATATGAACTAGACCTATAATATACCTATAGGAACTAGACCTATAAATATACCTATAGGAACTAGACCTATAATATACCTATAGGAACTGACCTATAGGAACTAGAACTATAATATACCTATAGGAACTAGACCTATAGGAACTAGACCGTTTAAAATACCAATAGGAAACTAGAACTATACAACCTATAGAACTAGACCTATGGATCAGACCTATAATAACTATAGGAATAGACCTATAATATACCTATAGGAAAATAGACTATAATATACCTATAGGGAATAGACCTAGAGGAACTAGACCTATAATAACCCTTTGGAAAATAGACCTATAATATACCTAGGAATAGAACCCAGAGGGAAATAGACCAATAAATACTATAGGAATAGACCTAAATAAATGACTAACCTATGGATGCCATATATACTATAGGAACTAGACCTATAGGAACTAGACCTATAATATACCAATAGTAACTAGACCTATAATATACCTATAGGAACTAGACCTATAGGAACTAGACCTATAATATACCAATAGGAACTAGACCTATAATATACCAATAGGAACTAGACCTATAATATACCATAGGAACTAGACCTATAATATACCTATAGGAACTAGACCTATAATATACCTATAGGAACTAGACCTATAATATACCTATAGGAACTAGACCTATAATATACCTATTGGAACTAGACCTATAGGAACTAGACCTATAGGAACTAGACCTATAATATACCTAAAGGAACTAGACCTATAATATACCTATAGGAACTAGACCTATAATATACCTATAGGAACTAGACCTATAATATACCTATAGGAACTAGACCTATAGGAACTAAACCTGTAGGAACTAAACCTGTAGGAACTAGACATATAGGAACTAAACCTATAATATACCTATAGGAACTAGACCTATAATATACCTATAGGAACTAGACCTATAATATACCTATAGGAACTAGACCTATAGGAACTAGACCTATAATATACCTATAGGAACTAGACCTATAGGAACTAGACCTATAATATACCTATAGGAGCTAGACCTATAATATACCTATAGGAACTAGACCTATAATATACCTATAGGAACTAGACCTATAATATACCTATAGGAACTAGACCTATAATATACCAATAGGAACTAGACCTATAATATACCTATAGGAACTAGACCTATAATATACCTATAGGAACTAGACCTATAATATACCTATAGGAACTAGACCTATAGGAACTAGACCTATAATATACCTATAGGAACTAGACCTATAGGAACTAGACCTGTAATATACCAATAGGAACTAGACCTATAATATACCTATAGGAACTAGACCTATAGGATCTAGACCTATAATATACCTATAGGAACTAGACCTATAATATACCTATAGGAACTAGACCTAGAGGAACTAGACCAATAATATACCTATAGGAACTAGACCTATAATATACCTATAGGAACTAGACCTATGGGAACTAGACCTATAATATACCTATAGGAACTAGACCTATAGGAACTAGACCTATAATATACCAATAGTAACTAGACCTATAATATACCTATAGGAACTAGACCTATAGGAACTAGACCTATAATATACCAATAGGAATTAGACCTATAATATACCAATAGGAAGTAGACCTATAATATACCTATAGGAACTAGACCTATAATATACCTATAGGAACTAGACCTATAATATACCTATAGGAACTAGACCTATAATATACCTATAGGAACTAGACCTATAATATACCTATTGGAACTAGACCTATAGGAACTAGACATATAGGAACTAGACCTATAATATACCTAAAGGAACTAGACCTATAATATACCTATAGGAACTAGACCTATAATATACCTATAGGAACTAGACCTATAATATACCTATAGGAACTAGACCTATAGGAACTAAACCTGTAGGAACTAAACCTGTAGGAACTAGACATATAGGAACTAAACCTATAATATACCTATAGGAACTAGACCTATAATATACCTATAGGAACTAGACCTATAATATACCAATAGGAACTAGACCTATAATATACCTATAGGAACTAGACCAATAGGAACTAGACCTATAATATACCTATAGGAACTATACCTATAATAAAACTATAGGAACTAGACCTATAGGAAATAGACCTATGGGAAATAGGGTATTCTCTATACTATACAGACCCCTATTCCACTGCAGCCTGCCGATCTGTAGTGTTAGATATGTTTTGTCATAATAAGTTCAAATTTTTATTAACAGTGGTCTGGTCATATAACACCATTGTTTTCTCTCCACAGGCACTACAATGGACTTTGTAGACATTGAGCACTACGACCCATATAATGACACCTGGGCCCGAACATGCCCTGCTGTGAAATACGTGACAAACTTCACAGCTACTGCCTGCCATGGTAAACTGTACGTGATAGGTTCCTGTGCTGTTAAGTACAACGCCTTGACTCTGCAGTGCTACAACCCTGTTATAGGTAGGAAGGAACAACGTGGATCATCATATACTGTAGCTAATATACTCACAATATGGAACCGTCACCAGTGTTAGGGTCAATTGCATTTCATGTTCACTTCATTTCATGGTCCTCTGTAGCTCAGCTGGTAGAGCACGGCGCTTGTAACGCCAAGGTAGTGGGTTTGATCCCCGGGACCACCCATACACAAAAATGTATTTACGCATGACTGTAAGCTGCTTTGGATAAAAGCGTCTGCTAAATGGCATATTATTATTGGATTTACTGAATTTAAAAGGAATTGACCCCAGCAATGATCCCAATAATTGTTTATCGCTTTAGAAATGCAACTTGTTTCGCAGTAGATGGTGTCAAAACAGTATCCTTTTAGTATCCCATCTAAATTCTATTGTCAGTGCAATCAAACAGGTAGCCTACCTCTCAGATGTAGCATGTGTTGTTCAGATGCCCTTCTCTACCTTTGTCCATTACACTAAATACGTTTTGAGTAAGGAGAAAGGAAAAACAGGTAGGCTACAACAGTTCTCAGATTCTCATCAGAATCCTATCTCATACCTTTGCCCCATTGTGCCTCTCTGTCCTCAAGATGGGTGGAGTATCATCTGCTCTCCCTTCATCCCCAAGTACCTGTCCTCTCCTCGCTGTGTCTCAGTGGAGGGGCTCATCTACCTGATCGCTGACAACACCAAGAAGGTCTACTGCTATGACCCACTGGCCAACATGTGGCAGAAGGTGGGTTAGAGTTAGGGTTAGGGTTAGGGGTTAGGGGTTAGGGGTTAGGGGTTAGATTAGGGGTTAGGGTTTAGGGGTTAGACGTTAGAGGTTAGGGGTTAGGGATTAGGGGTTAGGGGTTAGAGTTAGGGTTAGGGGTTAGGGTAGGGTTAGGGGCGTTAGGGGTTAGGGTTAGGGTTAGGGTTAGGGTGAGGGTTAGGGGTAGGGGTTAGGTTAGGGTTAGGGTTAGGGTAGGGGTTAGGGGTTAGGGTTAGGGTTAGGGTTAGGGTTAGGGGGTTAGGGTTAGGGGTTGGGGTTAGGGGTTAGGGGTTAGGGTTAGGGTTAGGGGTAGGGGTTAGGGTTAGGGGGTAGGGGGTAGGCGTAGGGTTAGGGGTTTGTTAGAGTTAGGGTAGGTTAGGGGTAGGGTTAGGGGTAAGGGTTAGGGGTTAGGGTTAGGGTTAGGGGTTAGGGGTTAGGGTTAGGAGTTAGGGGTTAGGGTGTAGGGGTTAGGGTTAGGGGTTAAGGGGTTAGAGTTTAGGGTTTAGGGTTAGGGGTAGGGGTTAGGAGTTAGGGTTAGGGGTTTCGGGTTAGGGGTTAGGGTTAGGGGTTAGAGGTTAGGGGTTTAGAGTTAGGGTTTAGGGTTGGGGTTTAGGGTTAGAGTTAGGGGGGTAGGGGTAGAGTTAGGGGGTTAGGGTTAGGGTTAGGGGTTATGGTTTAGGGGTTAGGGCCGTTAGAGTTAGGGGTTAGAGTTAGGGGTAGGGTTAGGGACGTTAGGGGTTAGGGTTAGGGGTTAGGAGTTAGGGTTAGGGGATAGAGTTAGGGTTAGAGTATGGGTTGGGTTAGGAGTTAGAGGGTTAGAGGTAGGTTAGGGGGACATAGAGTTCGGGTAGGGGTTACGAGGTTAGGGGTTAGAGTTAGGGTTTAGGTTAGAGTTAGGGTAGGGGTTAGAGTTAGGGCAGGTTGAGGTTAGGGGTAGTGTTAGGGGGGTTTGGGGTTAGGGTTAGGGGTCAGGGTTTAAGGGTAGAGTCGGGTTAGGGGTTAGCATTAGGGTTAGAGTAGGGGTGTTGGTAGTGTTTAGAGTTAGGGGGTAGGGATTAGAGTTAGGGTAGAGTTAGGGTTAGTGTTTAGGTAGGGGTTAGGGTGAGAGTTAGGGTTTAGGGGTTAGAGTTAGGGTTAGGGTAGGGTTAGTGTTAGAGTTAGGGGTTAGGGTTAGGGGTTAGAGGTTAGGGGTTAGGGGTTAGTAGTTAGGGGTTAGGGTTAGGGGTAGGGGTTAGGGTTAGGGTTAGGGTTAGGGTTAGGGTGAGGGGTTAGGGGTTAGGGTTAGGGGTTAGGGGTTAGGGTGTTTAGAGTTAGGGGGTAGGGTTAGGGGTTAGGGTTGGAGTTAGGGGGTTAGGGGTGAGAGTTAGGGGTAGGGGGTTTAGAGTTAGGGAGTATGGTTTAGAGTTAGGGGTGTTAGCGGTGAGGGGTAGGGGTAGGGTTAGGGTTAGAGTTAGGGGTAGAGTTAGGGGTTAGGGGTTAGGGTTAGAGTTAGGGTTTAGGGGGTAGAGTAGGGGTTAGGGTTTAGAGTCGGGATTATGGTTAGAGGTTAGGGGTTAGGGGTTTAGGGGTTAGGGTTAGGTTAGGGTTGTTAGAGTAGGGGTTAGGGTTAGAGTTGAGTTAGGGGATAGAGTTTAGGGGTTAGCGGTTAGAGTTAGTGGGTTAGGGGTAGGGGTTAGAGTTAGTGGGTTAGGGGTAGAGTTAGGGTTAGGGGATTAGAGTTCGGGTTCGGGGTTAGCGTTAGGGTTAGGGGTTAGAGTTAGGGTTTAGGTTTAGAGTTAGGGGTGAGTGTAGGGTTGGGGTTAGGTGGTTAGGGGTCAGGGTTAGGGGTTTAGAGTTAGGGTTAGGATTAGAGTTAGGGGTTAGGGGGTTAGTGTAGAAGTTAGGGGTAGGGTTAGGTTAGGGTTAGAGGGTTAGAGTTAGGGTTAGGGTTAGGGTAGAGGTTAGGGGTTAGGGGTTAGAGGTAGGGGTTAGAGTTAGGGGTTAGGGGTTAGGTTTCGGAGTTTTTAGCGTAGGGGTTAGGGTGAGAGTTAGGGGTTAGGTAGAGGTAGGGGTGTTAGGGTTAGGGTTAGAGTTAGGGGTTTTAGGGATTAGGGGTTAGGGTTAGGGGGTAGAGGTTAGGGGAAGTTAGGGGTTGGTTAGTGTTAGAGTTAGGGGTATGTCGTTAGAGTTAGGGTTAGATTAGGGGTGTGGATCGAGTAGGGGTGTTAGGGTTTAGGGTTAGGGGTTTTAGAGTTAGGGTTTTTAGGGGTTAGAGTTAGGGTGAGGGGTAGGGGTTAGGGTTAGAGTTAGGGTTTAGGGTTAGGGTTAGGGGTAGAGTTAGGTTAGGGGTAGGTAGATTAGGGTTGGAGTTAGCGTTAGGGGTTGTAGGGTTAGAGTTGGTTAGGGTTAGGGGTTAGGGGTTAGAGTTAGGGTGGAGTGGTAGGGGTTCATAGAGTTAGGGTTAGGGTTAGAGGTAGGGGTTCTAGGGTTAGAGTTAGGTGGTTAGGGTTAGGTTAGGGGTTAGGGGTTTTGTAGAAGTTAGGGGTTAGGGTTAGGGTTAGAGTTAGGGGTTAGGGAATTAGGGGTTAGGGGTTTAGGGGTTGTGTTAGGGTGTAGGGGGTTAGGGGTTAAAAGTTAGAAGGTTTTAGTGTTAGAGTTAGGGGTTTATGGTAGAGTTAGGGGTTATAGAGGTTAGGGGGATAGGGTTAAGAGGTAGGGGTTTATGGTTAGAGTTAGGGTCTAGAGTGAGGGGTTAGGGGTTAGGGTTAGGGGTGAGGGGTTTTAGGGGTTTGTGTTAGAGGTAGAGTTAGAGTTAGGGTTTGAGGGTTAGGGGGTGTGTGGTTAGGTTTTGTAGAGTTAGGGTTAGGGTGTTAGTTAGTAGAGTTAGGGGTTAGGGTTTAGAGGGTTAGAGTTAGGGGTTTTAGGGTAGAGTAGGGTAGCGTTAGGGGTTAGGGGTAGGGTGTTTAGGGGTTAGAGGTAGGGTTAGGGGCGGTTAGCGTTAGGGTTATGGGGGTAGAGTTAGGGTTAGGGGTTAGGGGTTAGAGTTAGGGTTTAGGGTTAGGGGTTAGGGGTTAGAGTAGGGGGGAGTTAGAGTTATGGTTAAGAGTTAGGGTTGGTTAGGGTTGGGGTTAGGTGTAGGGGTTAGAGTTAGGGTTAGGGGTTAGGGGTTAGGGTTAGGGGTTAGAGTTAGGGTTAGGGGTTAGAGTTAGGGTTGGAGTTAGAGTTAGGGTTAGAGTTAGGGGTTAGGGTTAGGGTGTTAGGGGTTAGAGTTAGGGTTAGGGGTTAGGGGTTAGAGTTAGGGTTGGAGTTAGAGTTAGGGTTAGAGTTAGGGGTTAGGTTTAGGGGTTAGGGGTTAGGGGTTAGAGTTAGGGTTAGGGGTTAGGGGTTATAGTTAGGGTTTAGGGTTAGGGATTAGGAGTTAGAGTTAGGGTTGGAGTTGGAGTTAGGGTTAGAGTTAGGGGTTAGGGTTAGGGTTTAGGGTTAGGGGTTAGGGGTTAGAGTTAGGGTTATGTTTAGACCAAAAAGGTCTACTGCTATGACCCACTGCTAACATGTGGAGAAGGTTTCAATTGTTTCAATTGCTGTTGTCTGCACTGCATGCTGTAAACATTTTAATATAATACAGATAATCTCTAAAACATTGTACTGGTTATTAGAAAGCACTTTGTGACAACTGTCAATGTATTAAGGGTTTTTACAAATATATTGCATGGATGGATGGCTGGATGGGTGGAGAGATGGATGGATGGATGGAGAGATGGATGGATGGATGGATGGATGGAGAGATGGATGGAGAGATGAATGGAGAGATGGATGATGGAGAGATGGATGGTGAGATGGATGGAGAGATGGATGGATGGAGAGATGGATGGATGGAAAGATGGAGAGATGGATGGATGGAGAGATGGATGGCTGGAGAGAGGGATGGATGGAGAGATGGATGGAGAGATGGATGGATGGAGAGATGGATGGATGGAGAGATGGATGGCTGGAGAGATGGATGGATGGAAAGATGGATGGATGGAGAGATGGATGGCTGGAGAGATGGATGGATGGATGGAGAGATAGATGGAGAGATGGATGGAGAGATGGATGGATGGAGAGATGGATGGATGGACTGATTAATCCTCTCCTCCTGTGTATTCCCCCCAGGTCCAGCTGCTCCACATGCTCCATGAGAACGGAGGTCTTGTGGCGTTGGACGGTCAGCTCTTTGCGACGGGGGGTCACTGGAAGGGCATGGAGGGGGACTACGGCGTGGAGGTGGAGGTGTATAACAGAGCTTCGAACAGCTGGAAGGTGGAGTGTTTCCTCCCAAGGCTCTGGATCTACAGCGGGACCTGTTCTGTCTTCCTGGACCCCTCCCAGTGGTCCGACCCATTCCCCATCGATGAAACCTAAATGGAACGGTCGGCCTATGGCATGCAGTGCTTGAAGTGGAAGGGAAAAAGGTGCTGGTACTTATTTTAGGTGCCAGTAGGCTACTTATTTTAGGTGCCGGTAGGCTACTCATTTTAGGTGCCGGTAGGCTACTCATTTTAGGTGCCGGTAGGCTACTCATTTTAGGTACTGATTTTAATTTAATAGTACTGGTGTAGCCTACCATATTTTAAGGGGTGAATATTCTAGATGTGCCGTCGGTACTTAAAGGCCCAGCGCAGTCAAAAACGTGATGTTCCTTTGTTTTATATATATTTCCACACTATGAGGTTGGAATAATACTGTGAAATTGTGGAAAATTACGACAAGCTGTTTCTTTTTTTTTTTTTACCATTTTAATTGAAATCAACCAGAGTACTTAATTGTTACCCAGAAATGATTTGATGTTGAGACCTTTATAAGCAGTAGATGCAGGTCTAATTCAAGCACTGAGCCCATGGCCATGACAGACTGATCTCAGGGTTATAAGTGCACAGACTACTGTCAGGCTGTCGTGTCCGACTGTCTTGGCTGTCAGTAGCCCAGACTACTGCGTGCATGTGGAATGTCGTTCATCACTAGGTTATGGAGAACGCCTTCGTGCCTTACAATAGCAGGTGACTTGATCTTCTATGCCGATTGTACTACTCCTGTTTTTTGTAACGTTGTACTCACGTGTTTATTTATATTGTTGCTTCCTGAAACATCTGTTTGCATCTGTATTGTTTAGCTTTTTTTTTTTTTTTTTTGTTGACTTATTCAAACTTTGTAGAAAATGTACTGTGAGTCATTAAATTAAATATTTGTAGAAAATGTGATGTTTAATCAATACATCTTTGTAAATATGTATTTTTTTTTTTTTATGGTGGAAATCATGGATCATTTCATTATTTACATTATATTGCTTTTGTGCTATTATTGCAGCAGTGGGTTTTTTAACCTGTGTTTGTTTAGAAGCTACCCACTGGACACAGTGTCAGTTCAACGTCCGCTGGGCACAGTGTCAGTTCAACGTCCGCTGGGCACGGTGTCAGTTCAACGTCCGCTGGACACGGTGTCAGATCAACGTCCGCTGGGCACAGTGTCAGTTCAACGTCCGCTGGGCACAGTGTCAGTTCAACGTCCGCTGGACACGGTGTCAGTTCAACGTCCGCTGGGCACAGTGTCAGTTCAACGTCCGCTGGGCACAGTGTCAGTTCAACGTCCGCTGGACACGGTGTCAGATCAACGTCCGCTGGGCACGGTGTCAGTTCAACGTCCGCTGGGCACAGTGTCAGTTCAACGTCCGCTGGGCACAGTGTCAGTTCAACGTCCGCTGGACACGGTGTCAGTTCAACGTCCGCTGGGCACAGTGTCAGTTCAACGTCCGCTGGGCACGGTGTCAGTTCAACGTCCGCTGGGCACAGTGTCAGTTCAACGTCCGCTGGGCACGGTGTCAGTTCAACGTCCGCTGGGCACGGTGTCAGTTCAACGTCCGCTGGGCACGGTGTCAGTTCAACGTCCGCTGGGCACGGTGTCAGTTCAACGTCCGCTGGGCACGGTGTCAGTTCAACGTCCGCTGGGCAGTCAAAAGTTTTCCTTTTTTAGATAAAACACTATTAAATATATTCAATGAAGGTCTACTGTAGCCTCAACAGCCCTCTCTAGGGTAGCACCGTGGTGTAGCCGGAGGACAGCTAGTTTCCGTCCTCCTCTGGATACATTGACTTCAATACATAAGCTACAGCTAGCTAGCGCTACAGTGCATAAAATGTGGTGAGTGGTTGACTCAAAGAGAGAGAAATAAAATAGTTTAACAGTTTTGAACTAATTCATTTCTTTAAAAATTTAGGAAAAGCAAGAGAGAGAGAAAGAGAGAGCTATATTTCATTGAATTTGTTCACTTTCACTTACTTAGCTACCGAATGCAGCTATCTAGTTTAGCCTACTTAGACACCCAGGTCAAACAAAGAGGGGTGCTATGTTAGCTAGCTAGCTAAGGCTATCCAACACTGGAACTCTTCCAAGTCAAGGTAAGTTTTTGGTTTTATACATTTATGGCCACCAGGGCCCGCTGGTGTAACTGCTAAACTGCTTGCTGACTGTACACTGTACTGCATGATTGATTGGGTTTAATAACGCGTTAGTTCTAGTAGATATTTTGACTATGATGTTAGCTAATATGGTGACAACGATGTAGGCCGTGTGTAGCGGTTAGCGGTTATGGTATGAAGTTTTGGCTTGGAAAGGTTTTTTAGCCTGGTTACAGACAGCTGATGTGTTGTGCACTGTTGTCCACAAGTGAAGGAAAAGGTGAGAGAAGGAGAGCGCGTAGATGCGAGGAGCAATACAACGATCAAAGGGAGCATGCTGTTATGTGGCTGCTATGAAAGTGAACTGTGTTGGCGTGTGATCAGGGGTGTATTCATTCCGCCGATTCTGTTGAAAAATGTTTCTTAAACAGAAGCAAACGGAACAAAATGGGATAAACATACCTGAATTTGTCCAATAGACATTCTCATTTGCAACTGTTTGGACTAATGATTACATCCTAGATGTAATCCCGAGTGGCGCAGTGGTCTTAGGCACTGCTTTGCAGTGCTAGCTGTGCCACTAGAGATCCTGGTTCGAATCCAGGCTCTGTCGTAGCCGGCCGCGACCGGGAGACCCATGGGGTGGCGCACAATTAGGGTAGGGGAGGGAATGGCCGATAGGGATGTAGCTCAGTTGGTAGAGCATGGCATTTCCAATGCCAGGGATGTGGGTTCGATTCCCACGGGGGGCCAGTATGGGGAAAATAAATAACAACAAAAAATCAATAATAAAATGTATGCACTCACTAACTGTAAGTCGCTCTGGATAAGAGCGTCTGCTAAATTACTAAAATGTAAATGTAGATCAGTTAGATGCTGAGTGTGCAAGGTGGTATGAAAGGGAAACTAGAGCAGATCCAAAAGTTCTGACTGAACACATATTTGAGCGGCCCAGGACAGTCTTTGTGCTGTTATAATTTATGCTAGCAGTTCCCCCTGTCATAGCAAATAGCTGGCAAAATACCCAAGCAACGATCGCATGGCCTACGGGCCCGTGGAGGTGGAGCTGCTGGCAGTCAATGAGGGGCAGAGTAGTAAGCTTGTTTTGAACAATATATTTTATAAACAGGAAAATGTACATATTTACCGCACTTTTATGAGTATTTGAAACATAATCCATGAATTATATACGGTTGAAGTTGGAAGTTTACATACACTTAGGTTGTAGTCATTAAAACTCGTTTTTCAACCACTCTTGTTAACAAACTATAGTTTTGGCAAGTTGGTTAGGACATCTACTTTGTGCATGACACAAGTCATTTTTCCAACAATTGTTTACAGACAGATTATTTCACTTATAATTCACTGTATCACAATTCCAGTGGGTCAGAAGTTTACATACACTAAGTTTACTGTGCCTTTAAACAGCTTGGAAAATCCCAGAAAAGTATTTCATGGCTTTAGAAGCTTCTGATAGGCTAATTGACATAATTTGAGTCAATTGGAGGTGTACCTGTGGATGTATTTCAAGGCCTACCTTCAAACTCAGTGCCTCTTTGCTTGACATCATGGGAAATCAAAATAAATCAGCCAAGACCTCAGAAAAAAATATGGTGGACCTCTACAAGTCTGGTTCATCCTTGGGAGCGATTTCCAAATGCCTGAAGGTGCCACGTTCATCTGTACAAACAATAGTACGCAAGTATATACACCATGGGACCACGCAGCCGTCATACCGCTCAGGAAGGAGACGCGTTCTGTCTCCTAGAGATGAACGTACCTTGGTGCGAGAAGTGCAAATCAATCCCAGAACAACAGCAAAGGACCTTGTGAAGATGCTGGAGGAAACAGGTACAGAAGTATCTATTTCCACAGAAAAACGAGTCCTATATCGACATAACCTGAAAGGCCGCTCAGCAAGGAAGAAGCCACTGCTCCAAAACCTCCATAAAAAAGCCAGACTACGGTTTGCAGCTGCACATGGGGACAAAGATTGTACTTTTTGGTGCAATGACCTCTGGTCTGATGAAACAAAAATAGAACTGTTTGGCCATAATGACCATCGTTATGTTTGGAGGAAAAAGGGGAGACTTGCAAGCCGAAGAACACCATCCCAACCATGAAGCACGGGGGTGGCAGCATCATGCTGTGGGGGTGCTTTGCTGCAGGAGGGACTGGTGCACTTCACAAAATAGATGGCATCATGAGGAAGGAAAATTATGTGGATATATTGAAGCAACATCTCAAGACATCAGTCAGGAAGTTAAAGCTTGGTCGCAAATGGGTCTTCCAAATGGACAATGACCATGTGGCAAAATGGCTTAAGGACAACAAAGTCAAGGTATTGGAGTGGCCATCACAAAGCCCTGACCTCAATCCTATAGAAAATGTGTGGGCAGAACTGAAAAAGTGTGTGTGAGCAAGGAGGCCTACAAACCTGACTCAGTTACACCAGCTCTGTCAGGAGGAATGGGCCAAAATTCACCCAACTTATTGTGGAAAGCTTGTGGAAGGCTACCCGAAACGTTTGACCCAAGTAAAACAATTTAAAGGCAATGCTACCAAATACTAATTGAGTGTATGTAAACTTCTGATCCACTGGGAATGTGATGAAAGAAATCAAAGCTCAATTAAATCATTATCTCTAGTATTATTCTGACATTTTACATTCTTAAAATAAAGTGGTGATCCTTTCTGACCTAAAACAGGGAATTTTTACTAGGATTAAATGTCAGGAATTGTGAAAAACTGAGTTTAAATGTATTTGGCTAAGGTGTATGTAAACTTCCGACTCCAACTGTAATATATACTGTATAAACTGAAAAATATAAACGCAACATGAAACAGTTTCTAAGATTTTACTGAGTTACATTTCATATAAGGAAATCAGTAAATTGCAAAAAAATATGTTTGCCCTACTCCAAGGATTTCACATGACTGGGAATCCAAATATGCACACGTTGGTCACAG